GTACATGTCAGTGTTGTTCTAGGCTCTCATCCATAGTACAAGCTATAGACCTGAAACTTTGCAGTTATGTAGTACCACATATGTACAACAATCTACCAAAGTTTCAGCGAATTTGCTTTTGGAGAATGCGAGAACGGTGAATTCTTAAAATTGTTTCAGAACTTCTGGGACACCCTTTATGTTTGATCAAGATGCGGCAGTTATCAATATTCCATAGTCGGATCCAATACTTCGCCTCGATTATAACGGCTGATCGGAAAGTTTTTGCACAAGATGTTTGTGCACTTTTGATTCACTAGAAAGTATTCTTAATGAATGAAAAGCTATGAGTTAGCATCAAAATTTTGTACTCTTTCCGAATATGAACTTAGAAATTTTGTGTCAGTTTCTGTTCGAGAGTAGTGAAACAATCTTTGAAAGAACCAAAAAATTGGTTTGGACGGATCCTGTGGGTCACAGTTTCTAATCAACATATTTATTTGCTTTGACTAGCTTGAAAGTATTTTAAGATGAATCAAAATTAGGGATCAGAAGCAAAATTTTGCGCACATTCTGAATATGGACCTACAAATGTTGTATCTGGTTTTGTTCGAGACTCATGAGGAAATCTTTGAAAGGCTTAAACAATTAGTTTGGACTGCGAATAAACAGATTTTGCTAACGCATACAAGTCCTTTTGGAAAGATGCTAAAAATTCTCGGATTCGGTAGTATTTTTCCAAGAGTCCGTTCCACGTCAAACGGTTTTTGCCAAAAAAACGATTTTTCAAAAATGACGATTTAGGAAAAACGGAAATTCAGAAGTCTTGTTCAATGACATAAAAAACTCAGATAGCCTATTTTGTAGCATAGGTTTTGCTTTGCAAGCTGGCATAATAATAAAGGTTCCAAGTTTTAGTTCCGGATCGGGACAGCAAAAAGACAAAAATGTGAGGATTCCGTCCAATCTAATTTTTTGAGTCTTTCAAAGATTATTTAACTACTCTCGAACAGAAACTGACACAAAAATTTCTAAGTTCATATTCGAAAAGAGTGCAAAATTTTGGTCCTAACTCATAGGTTTTCACTCACTGAGAATACTTTCTAGTGAGTCAAAAGTGCACAAACATCTTGTGCAAAAACTTTTCGATCAGCCTTTACTACCGATTAGACTGAAATTCACATAATAGGTCAATGAATGAATAGTTTCTCCGCATTAAAAATAATTTCTGATGAAATGCTTGCATATGCATATTCTTTGATCTTCGAAAGCTTAGCATCAATATTCTCGATGATTTGAATTATTACTAATACAATATTTCGCATTTATAATAATCATCTATTGCATAAAGATGTCAACAGTTTCATATAAAAAATAATAACCTTGAATGAATAATTATTTTGCTTGAGTCATTAGGATTTATATTTTTGACAACAAATTTGTATAGAATTGACATGAAACTGTTATTTTCTTTCTATTTGATGATATTTTAAAGATATGTATTTAATGACAAATGAGTTCTTTCTGTGGTGTTTTGTAATGTTTGTTTCTTTGCTTTTCTTATGCAACATTCGCACGTCACATTTGATGAATTTCAAATTGGACGAATAAAAATCTCAAACAATTATTTACAATCAACTTTTTTTGTTGATGTCAATAATTAGAAAAAATAAGAGCAAATCAATATCTTATTCGTTGTATTCTGCTTAAAATATATCATGATAGATGTTTGAGAAAAAGTGAAATCTGACACTTAAAAATTTTCATATCAATCATGAATCGGTTTCTTTTGTCGATATGAAGAAAATATCAGTATATTTTAAGTAGTTAAAATATTGGTCATCAGAGACATATACATTCATATTGTCTAAGCTAGACATGTTTTTTAATATTCGTTTGATCTAAAATAATTTCTTCATGAGTTTTTCTTTTACATACGAAGCACAACATATTCTTCTTTAGTAATTTCATTTCAAGTTCGTTTTTTTCCTATGATTACATTTTATCATGAATCATGGAGCCAAAAAAAGAATTCTTTCGTCATTTGTTGAAGTGTCTGATATACTTTAACCTTTGACAAGCCTTACATCACCTGTAAGAAATACGGACAGCATAGAAGGAAACTGCCGAAAAACAAAATTCAATAAAAAAAGTCAATAGGGGAAACTGATGACAGAAGTCAAACATTTGTCCTTTCATAAGTGGAAAATACCTAGAATTTGTTTATTTATATTTTTTGTGTTTTATTAATATTGGAAAAAAACGGAGACATTCGTGTAGAAGAATTATTTTACAAACTGTACAAAAAATTATTTAATTATATTGTGAGAAAAAAAAAACGAAATAAATTTAAGAGTAAATCAATGTTCCTGAAAAATATTTAACCAAATCGTTCTTTGTTATTTTTGAGTCAAAATTTAATAATAAGAATTTCAATGATTGTGTTTTTATTTTTCATGTTTATTTTATGTCTGTTGATGGTGCAATAGTTAGTAGCGATTAAAAACAATATCAAACGAGGCAAATTACAAAAGAGAGAAATTCTTATGAGAAAAAATTTTGTAAATGAAATTATGGCAGATGATAAACTATCGAATCAGCATGCATTTTAATGTGTCATGGAGGATATCATGAGTCAAATTTTTTATGCCAAACAGGGAGAGAGATATAGAGAAAATAAAGGGTTACTAAACAGTCAGAGTAGACTCATATAATGACGGCATGATAACAAATCAGAAATAAAATTCATGAGTCAATCTATATACCCTTATTATCAACATATCTAGCTATCGATTACGAGAATAGTTAGCTGTAGTATCTATAGATTACGAAATAAACGATATTATTTTTACAGGGCACGAAAAAAGAAACAGAACAAAAAAAGAAAAAAGAACCTAATGTATAAACAAAATACCTGTCACAGTTTTGCTTAACATCTTTCTTCTTTGAATAAAAAGGAAAAAACAACAAATAGGGTCGTTATTCTTTCTATAAATAAGCTGTCGGTTTTACAGTATAAGAATCCTCAACAAAAAGAAACCATTCATACAACACTATGATCTGCACTGCTTTCTGTTTCTAATCGTCGTGTGTCATCGTATTCAGCTTTTGTGGCATCAACGAATTTTCACACGACATTTCTTACGTAATATTGAATCAAGTCAAAAGCAATCAGTAGGTTTTTCTACCTTATGTTTGTTTTTTCCGATAAACGATGTTTTCGTCATCTATCTTGCAGTGTACTGTATTTCACCGCAAAACCAAACAACACCAGAAAAATGTCTATCTAATCCTTGGCATGGAAAAGGTTTTTGTGAACCTAATCAATACAAAGCAGCTATTGATCGCTGTGAAGATGGACATAAATCATGTGACTTAGGCATTGAAATTTATAAAGATCTTGTTAAAGTTCTTGAACTTTGTTCCCAATCTTTACGTACATGGTCATCGAGAAGTCAACAGAAAGTTGCTCAATCTAAAGAATTTGGTACTACAAGAACAGCATGGTTCGAGTCTATACAAGCAATAGAAAAATTAGCTGAAAGAAATGAAGATATAACTACAAATATTCAGCAAAATGTTATTGATAAAATGACTGCTTATAAAAAATCAAAATATGAAAAATCATTTCTTCATGTGAAAAAAGTTAAAGAATTTGAAAAAGAATTTAAAAAAGCACAAAAACAATGGTTGGAATTATTAGATAAAATTAATGAAGCAAAACAAGAATTTCATTATGCAAGTCGAAAATTACATAGAGCTAAACGAGCAGAAAATGCTATTACAACAGATTTAGGTAAGACTGACGAAGAAAAGAAAACAGTAAAAGATAGTGTTGATCATTATGAACTTGAAACAGAATCATGTAGAAAAAAATATTCTAAATTAATTAAAGACATGGAAGTACAACAACCAACTTATGAACAAGAAATGTTTAAAATACTAGCACGTACAGATGATTTTGAGCGAGATCGTTTAAATCAATTAAAACTGATGTTCAATGCTCTTCAAGAAGCTATATCAATTGAAAAGGATACACGTCATACAGAAATGTCTGTCTTATTTAAAAAAGCAATGGCCAAACAAGATATCAATAACGATATTGAATTTTTTAATAAACATTATGGCCGTGAAACAAAAACCAAATGGCCTGTCTTTGAAGATGTACATGAATAATCTCATTCTCTATCGATGTATTTGTATTTGTTTTAGTTTTTAAAAAATGATCAAATGGCAAGGCATATCGAGAGGAGAAAATCCAGGGAGAATACTTCTTTTGTAGATATTCAGCTTGATCCTTTTTATCAGCATATTTATCAAAAAGTGCTGAAAAAAATTTTCAACAAAAAGATATAATGATGAATCGATAAGAAGTTTTCTTTCTGAAATCTTCTCAATATATGCCAGGCCTTGTTCTAATTAACTGTGTTTTTTTTTGTGTGCATCAACAATATTGTTCATTTTTATCCCGATCTTGTTATTTACTATACTTTCAGTGTGATAATTATAATTCAGAAAAAAAACCTGAAAACTGTTCATATTACTCTATTTTTCTGTTTTATTCAGTAGTTAGTACGAATAAACTTATCATTGACAAATAATAACAATTTCTACTATGATTTCGACATTACAACGATAAGAATATTACCCAGTATCGTTTTCTTTTTTTTTTCTTTAGATACGAGAGAATTATATTAAATCATCGGAAGTAATTAATGAATCATGTTTCCTTTTTCCAATTTGGAAGAAGTTTATATTAGCCCAGATCTTTCCATGTTATTTACTTCCGTTTTACAGTTTATGTCTTCCATCATCTTGAGTTTTACATGAAATAAATATTTACTTTTGATTTATTTCGAATATTTCTCATGATGAAATTGATTGCAATATTAAAAGCACATTATCGAGATAACAATAAGTCTTTTTTTTGTATATCTAAACTTGTGCAATAAAAATAAGCCTATAAAAGTTTTCCCGTATTGGCAATAGATGACCTCCATCGTATGCTTCATTGTATATTAAAAAATCCATCAGGGAACTTCAAAAAAAATCATATCGATTCTCAAAAGTGAAATAGCTATTCTTTTGAAAGGCATATGCACTGTTCTACTTCGTCATAAAAATTTGTACAAAGAAATATTTCGAATGTCGATTGATAAATGCCGAAACATTTTATTATTTCGTTTAACTACACAAACGAAGAAATACAAATGGCAATTCATAATTATTTGAATACCTTTTTTTTTCGTTTCATTGTAAAATTCAATCAACTCTCAGATAGTGTTTACCTTTCAAAAACAAAAGGAAACAAAAGAGAAAATAAAAAATGACGCCAATGTATACAATGAAATAAATGTAAATATATACTAATGGGATCAGTAAACGTATTGAATAAAACAATTCTTTTTTGTGACATATCAACATGTCTATTAGACAAGACCGAACAAATGCTGACACTAAACAGACTTCTAACAATGTTCCACCTTATTATCCTAATCCACAATATGGATATGGATCACCGTCATCATATTATCCGGGATATACAGATCCTTATATGTATCCTTCACCTCCATATAATTATTCAGAGTATAATAACTATCCAGTAAATGAGTACGGGCAAATGACAGAAGGACCTACATATTTTCCTCCCATTGTCAATCAACATCAACCAGGATATTATACATATCCTAGTTATGGACCGAATGTATCAACTGATGAATCTTATATGTATCCTCCAAGAAATGATTCCATGTATTATTCGGATTATTATTATCCGAATTATTATCCTGGTTATGAAACGGCAAGACATGAGACTTTACCACCCATACAGCAACATGTATTTATCTTGATTTTATTTTAATGAAACATGAACTTTTTTTTATATTTGTAGCCACCTACTTCGACTCAACCTGTTTTACCAGCTGAAGATAACTATGAAAAACTGGCTATTGTTGACTTAACTGGGATTACTTCATTACCATCGAGATCAACAAGAAGAGATACTAAACGAAAAACTAGACATCATCATAAACTTAAAAAAAGATATGATTAATGCTTAAGTTTTTTTATTTATCTTTTTCCACACACAAGTGTCAGATATCGACAACAACATGGCGTAATCTTTCTCATTAACGCTGTCATCTTAACATAGACAGCATGACTTTCTTTTTCACGCCTTTGTATGCTTTGATATATATATATATATAAGAAAATTATAGCAAATGAAATATGGTAATGCCTCTTGTAGATGTAGATATATATTAAATGAGAGAGAGAGAGAGAAAAAAATAGGCAAATAATTTTACGGGTTATGGGCAAACACACACATACATTAACAGAGTGAAACTGTTCCTGACCAAATGTAAGAAAAGAGATATGAGTAAATATATGTTCAAACAATAGAATCGATAGTATTTAATTTTAATCTGGTAATAATTCATGTCTAAACTGCGTGCTTATTTTTTTTGTGTATTAATTGATTATTAAAGTATTTATTCTTCTCCAGCTGGTTCAGATGCTGAAGCTGCTTCTGTTGTTGTTGCAGGATGAGCACCACCACCAGGTTGTCTACTAAATTTTGTTTCTAATTGTTTACGATTTCGTTCATGAGGATGAAGTTTATCCTGATAACAACCTTAATAAAAATAAAATAAAAAAAAAACAATACAAGACTAGTTTTTTAAATTCTCATCTTACTCTTGCAATAAATATCTAGAGAAAAGTCCTTGTATGAAGCCAATGTCAAAATGCTATTGCCTATAATTAAAAATAAATAAATAAATAAATAAATAAATAACCAAAATGAAATAAACTTACATGTTTTACATTTGAAACAGCCTTTATGCCATGAAGCACTACATGCAGCAAGTTTTTCTGCTGGATAAACAGTTTTCTGACAACGTGGACATATTTCACCACCACCTCCCCACTGTGGCATTGTTTAAATAATGAAGAAAAAAATAAATAAGATAAATATAATCTACAAGAAATGTATTTAAATTAACTTGTCTATATTACATAGTCGATCAGTTAGCGTATTGATAATCTTAATATAGCTTTCTATGCTAATCGATGTACTTCGAAAAGAGCAAAACATTTTCTTTCAGACGTTAAATATCTAAGATAATAAGTGATCAAATTGACCAAAAACTCGTCTCAACTGTTGGATTATGCGTACAACCACGTCTTAACGAATAACATCATTTATATAAGTAGAAAGAAAAAAATGCAGTGGCAAACAAGATTATCTTCTTTAGCTATGATTTGCACATATACGATGTTTGCGATCAGCACAAGAGAGAGCGAGTGAGAGAGAGAAAACGAAGAAAAATGGGAATGTCTCATACTAGTCAGCCTTGGTGATATAGCTGTTATTCGTTGTTATCATTTTCCATACATACACATACGCCCACATAGAAAACCTTTCCTTTTTTTCTCTTGTTCTGCTTTGCAGTTGATGGATAAACAAAAAAAAAGGTTGTTATTGGTAATGATTTGTCATGACGATGAAGATGATGCTGATCTATCTTTCTCGCTCTATATCTCATCAGTCAACCAACGAATGGGTGGAGTCAGTAACAGACGAACGTTATGCTCCCAATTTATGATGTGATTTCTATTTTTTTTCTTTCTTTGCGATATTCTATTGGTATTACGTCAATAGAAATAGCAGTGATGGTATGTTCTACGATACCAATAACGTAATGACTCGTTTGAAGTATTTGCTCGCTACTAGTACAATGACGTGTATATTTAATAGTAGCGTAAGAAAAGGAGTAAAGACCATTATGTTATTATCACGTCTTCGGACAAGAGATGACAAGCGAACATATCTCTGTTGTCGTCCGATAATAATACTATACAGATATTTACAGGCGTATGCTAATCTTGCAAAACAGATATGGACTTGATCGACAAAAGATGGGTTATACTCTATATACATATAAAGAACACGTATAAGAACTTTCTATCGAAGTGAAATTGCTGGTATCAATCATGAATATACAGAAAACAAAGAGAAAGAGAGAAAAGAGAGAGAGAGAGAAAAAGAGCTTCCCACTAATATTAATAACAACAACAACAACAACAAATGTAAGCATTCGCCTACGTATTAACACTTAACATAATGAAAAATATTCCTTTCATCCTAGTCCAGTATGTCTATATACACTATGAGAATATTGATCTAAAGAACTCTCTAATCGAATTTTTTCTTCTCTAACTATCAATCAAAATAAGAAAGCTTCTATATACATATTGGTTATGTTTTGAAAAGATCCTAGATGTATGTCTGATAGATCAGACACCAACGAAATGCCATCTATATTGTTGTCAGTCTTCATCTGTCTGTCCAAATAAATGAGTGGATTAACATGTACCAAAACTTGTTTTGTTTATTTTGCGCGTACAATTCAAGAAAATAAAAATTAGTTTTGGTTTTTAGTCATCTTAAAATAATTTTATTCAATTTTTCATTGACTTTTTCTTATTGCTTACTTTCTCGAATATTATTATCTGCTGATATATACAAATACATATACAACAAACAATGCATTATTGGGTGTGTGTGTACATGCCCTTTCTTGGAAAATTCTACTACGCCAATGTTTTACACATATGGTGTTTGCCTAGACAAAAAAATAAGTATGATATAATTTAGAGTATTATGGATGTACTGAGAGTATCAGTTTAAAAGGTTTTAAATGTATTCTTTATTGCTAAGAATCCTATTTCACTATGTCAATAACAGTTATATTTTCAATTATTATACTGTCATATAAATATGTTATGGTATAAAATTCTTTTTCTTTCTCAAGTCTGCTTTTATCAAATGAATGTTAAATTGGAATTATATAGGGGTCACAGAAAATTAACGAATAGGTCACGTAGAAAAAAAACACATTGGCCATAGAATTCTATGACAAGTAAATGCGAGAATCAAGTGCAAGACAATGATAAAAATTAAACATCAATTCTATTGACTCTGTGTATGAGATAAAATTGTTTTAGTTTACTTACAAAAGAAATTGAGAAAAAATAATTTCATTTCACAAGAAGAACTATTAGTTTCTACCAATTAATTCATTATGATCTTACAATATTGTTTTTTATTTTTCAAAAGTTTTTCTTTGCTTTTTTTAATTTAGTTGTTTGCAGTCACAATAAATATTGTATATAGTTTCAATTCAAATCAAGTATTTCAAAGTAAAAGCCTACGAAACTAAATTCAATAAACTTGTATGAAAAATAATATTTTTCTATTTTTTTTTAATTTCATAAGAATGTGTTTGTATGTATTGATGATAAATTATTAAGTCAGGTTATTGCATTTATAAATTTAACAGGACTCATAAAAAGCAGACGATGATAGAAAAAGCTCATAGTGAGACTTACTTGTATAAGATTTATTTTTACTAATATATAAAATATTTCACTATATACGAAGAATGTATATTTATTTGGCGTTGAAATAAATATTGAATATCTATAGAGCAAAATAAAAATTCTAGAAGCTCCTCTGTTTGAAGTATTACTATTGATTATGAAAAAAAAAAGGCAATAGTAGTGCTTGACAAATAGGTTATTGCATTTTTATCAACGAATTTGTATTGTTTATGGTTGAATCTTGAAGAGTACAATGAACAACAAGACGTGCATTCGTCATCTTAGTTCGAGAGAAAACGATAAACTCTACGAAAAATTCATTAAAAAGTTAAGCTTCGTCTCTTATTTCGTTTACAAGAATGAATATATAGTTTTTCTTTAAAATAATTCATCAAAGTCGTTATTCCCTATTTGAAATAGCAGATAATATATTAAAACCGGAGGTTTTACTGGTTTACTTTTCCTTAACTGATTATTTACTGTAATGACTGATAAAACCTCTAGAATTTGTACTATCAATTTAACAATAAGTTATTTTTTCTGACTTTTCGTACCTTATTTTACTATATTATTACATGTAGTCGGTATTTTTTTTTTCGTTTTATCTGATTTTCCTGCGTATAACATGAGGATCACAGAAAATTTCTTTACTGAACATAAATGAATATATATCACAACAGCTGTTTCTTTATTTATCAAAAGCCAGGCATGCTATTTCTGTTGCTTAGATGTCGACAAAAATGATTGCTTTATGTTGTTGATGTTGTTCAGTTCATCGTTTATAAGTAACTGAAGAAATTTGTCATTGAATAGTAAAAAAAAAGTACGAGTAGGCGGAAAAGCACTTTTATCGTTATTTTGATTATTCTCTTTTTCTCTTTTCTATTTATCGATCACAAAAATTCTTCAGAAATCGATCATACGATCTTTTCTTGTGTCATGAATTTTTTTACGCTTTTCAAGTTATTGAAAATGTAAGATATGAATTAGGTTAAACAAAGAGAGAGAAAGAGAGAAAACGAAGGAGAAAAAAAAATCGACGTTTGCTACCGTTTTTTTTTGCAACTGCTCGAACAAGTGAATAAGTGGTTGATTTTTCATCCCGTTGTCGTCACAACAGAAAAACAGACACAAGTGGTAATACGATAATGGTGACCATATGCAATTTGATGCTGTGTAATTGAAAGAAAAATAGCAGAAAAAAAACACGTATCTATATATAGGTATACATATCATTATTACGACTAAAAACAAAAAAATATTCCAAAAATGGTCCATTATGGAAAACATATTATTGATCCGCAAACTGGTTTATGTGAAATTTGCGATCGTGGTGCCATACATCAATTTCGGCAATCAAAACAGGGAAAACAATTTTTATATTCAAATCAAGATGGGAAATTTACTTATCGTCCTAACGATGATGAAATACAGTATAAAGATGAAACAACACCACGTCATGTTCGTAAACCTCTTTATCCTGAACCACCACCGCCACGACCACGCCCAGTAGTTCATGAAAAACCAATAGTTCATGAAAAACCAGTAGTTATTCAAAGAAGAGTTGTTCGACGTGATCATTCACCATTGGATGATATTCATCATCATCCTACTGCTCATCCAGCAACACTTTATTACGTTGATAATACAGGTCAGATGGCTCCTCGACATCAGGCTCAACCAGATGAACCAGATCGACGTTATCTTGTTCAAAATCATCATTCACCACCAACAAAACCAGCTCACGTGGAACACCGACGTGCGCAAACACCACCGCCGCCAGCAAGTGACTCTTGGCGTTCACCGCCAAGACGACAAAATAATTCTGATACACGAATTATTGAACGACAACACAGAGAAGGACCAAATGATACTTATTATCATCAATCACCAAGAAGAGCTGAAATGTATTTTGTTGACGCACCTCATAATAACAATCAATTTTCAACATTACGTCCTTTTGTTCATCAGTCAAATATTGATAATACTCCATCACCTCGCATTGTTCGTCAAGAACCGAATAGAAGACATCATCTTGAACCTATTCAACGAGTACATCACGCTGAAATTGAACCAGGTTCTACAAGAAGAGCTAATAAAAAAATATCACCAAGACATGAACCTCAACAAGAAGAATACATTCCAAATGGTAATCATGTACGACCTGTGCGAAAAATTGAAAAAATTTATCCAACACCAAGACAGTATGAATCATCACCACAATTGACCAATAGACAGATGCGAAGTACTTTATCAAATAAAAATCCATCTATTTATTATATTCAATCCGTTAATGGATATTAACAAAATCATTTTTTTCTATATAGTATTGTAACTTTCGCATCATTGATCATCAATTAAAATAATATAGAAACTGTGTAAATAAAAACTTAACAGTCGTTTTCTTTTAGTGCACTCTTCTTCAAACGGTCACTTTAAAAGCGATTAAATTTTTTTTTATTTTTTTAGGGCAAAATAAGAAGTGAATGACAACCTTAATAGGTTTCGTTTAATATTGAAAGTAAAAGAACGACTTCTTCTCACAGCTGAAAGAAAATTGACAGCAAGAAGTTTTTACCTACTAATTTAACCATGCAAATAATCAGTTGATCTCAACGAAATCTTTTATTAGAAAATAAAATTTCAACTATGTAAATATCTCTGTATCAATGTCGAAATCAAAATATTTAAATATTTTGCAAAATACAATAAAATTAGTTTTCTTTTTGTGCGAGGCCTGAAATTGTGAATAATAAAATCATGCTTGCAAATGGGAAAAAGTCAACACCGGAAACAGTTCAAGTTTTCTAAAAATTAAAAAATTTAGAGAATTTATTATTTACTGCACCTGTCTATTAACTGATCTAATGAAATTGACAAATATATTATTGAATTTGTAGTAAGTCGATCAAAAAGTTAAGAACCAATTTGATTTAAACTTTTTAATTGTCTAATGATCGTCAGTTTAGTGACTATCAGACTCGAGATAGGCTGCTCGAGCCAAAGAGATTTTTCTTCCGAGCCGGTCGAGCCGAGCTTCATTTATTTATTCACGGAAGACTTACCATATAAGAAAAGAAAAAAACAAATGTGATTTTTCAACATTGACGATAGATTTCATTTGATTTTAACCTTTCTCACTCAATAGTTAAAAAATCAGAATTAAATCATGCCATTGTAATCGATGTTATTCTCGTTTTTTTACATGAGTCTTATACTTGGCAACTGATAATAAAAACAAAAATAGAGTATTTATGTGGTTCAATGTCATGCCTTATTTACACATACAAGGCCGAGTGCAGCATCGATTGCATTAAGTAACATGAGTGTTACTGAAGTAGAACAGTATGATTAAAAATAGTAACCGAATTGACTCTTTGAAATTAATCAGTGAGTATTTTACTCGTGAAAGCTTTTTGTTGAGAAATGATAGTCGTGAAAAAGTTGCCAAACTCACGAACACATATTACTTGTTCGGTTCAATAAGTAATTTGACTTATATTTCACACTGCTTTTTTTTGTCAAGCATTAAAATCGTCCGACTTTATTCAACCCATGATCATTATGATAACAAACTTTTTTATAGTGCTCTTAAAAATGAATGCAGTGGTTATATAGAAATCTTTTTTTGTAAAAGAAAAATATTTTTAATTGTGCCGTTCTGAGCTGTGCTAGTCTGTCAAAAGGTGACCTGATTTCGAGACCTGGTAAAATCAATAAAATCAAATTTACAAGTAAAAAAAAAGGATTTACTATTGCAGTTTTGTTAATCGATAAAGAATTAACTTCGGTGCTGGCTTCTACAGAAGAGAATGGCATTTACAGGACTCTAAAGAGTAATTATACTCGATTTGATAATATTAACTTTAGTTCAATCTATCTCTGCAAAAAGTTTTCGAAGATATTTTATTCCTCTGTTGATCAATACATTAGGGATTATTTTATCGAATTTCATAGTTCTCTATATTGTCATGATTCAGAATATAAAAGCTTTACTTTTTTTCGAGTAAGTTTCAGACATTTAAATGTTTTAATATTTTTTCTGGATATTCAAGTGAAGAAGCTATTGATTTCTCTATCGATTCATAGATTTTTAAGTCTTTGAATTGGATGACTAACACTATTTTTTTCCCTCTCAAATTCACTGTACAATAATTCATTGCTTTGTCTGACAACAAGGAAACCATTAGAAGTCTTTCAATGTCATTGGCTCTATATTTTATCAATAAGTAGCGTATCTGCTAATCACAGAAAAATCGAGAAGATATAAATCTATGTTACGATTGGCTTGAAATATCGAAGTTTGGATGTAATTCCCCTGTAGAACTTTGAATTTTTTGCAAAAACTCTATTAAAGAATTTTAATCTGAAACTTTGTCTACAACAGCAGCTGAATTAAACTACTTTATATGATAAAACTCACAATTTTTGGGGGTAGGATCATTTGAACTTGAATTTTTGAAAGCATAAATCTTTTAAAAAATTTAGTCTCGGTAATGCTACGCTCAAAACTTGTGAATTTTTTTTGTACAGAGTAGTTTAGTTGATTGGTTGATGTGAACAATGTTTCCCGGTTAAAATTCAAAAATATGGTTTTACTGAAACATCAGTGTCCTTCAAGGAAATTTTTGTAGAAATTCAATATCTTTTTAGATTTTCTCTACTATACAAGTACTGTACTTATTGAAAAGCCATCGGGTTAAAACTTTCGAATCACATCGAGCTATTTTCTCATAAATTCAATAGAACTTTTTCAATCAATTTCCATATAGTTTCAATAAGATAACAGCGTGCAAAGTCTTAATTTCGATAAAACAATAAGTACTCCATCTAATTATAGTAAAAGAATATATCCTTTGAATTACAATACTAAATGTATTTGTTACTCAAGTACGAATGTCGTTCCCTTGCGTAAAGTCAGTGACGTGTGCTTCGAAAAAAGGGATATGTGCGTTTAATTTTATTAAAATATCAAAGAAGTTAGTGTTATCAAGCCGTTATAATTCCAATAAATAAAATAACATCTTCATAATTTGATAATAGAATATGTTAATCGTTTCTGTCATCAATTATAGCCATATCTGTGTTCGACATCAACTTAAATTGACTTCTTAAATTTCACCAAAGGAAATCTACATTCTATAATGATAAATACGGCGCATGAAACATATTCGTTCATGACGCAAAAAAAAGCATCATAATTAATAATGATGAATAATTGAACAATATCAAGAGAAGAATACTAATACGTTAGTTATAAGAATTTTTTTTTCGTCATTTTTCGAATCTTATCAAACAGGCTCAATCAATCAATTATGGTAGTTCGTGTTAATTATTTTTCTTTCTTACCGATCAAGCAGAGAATTGAAAAAAATAACATATGCAATAGAATATCAATACATCTCAATATTGAATTAACATAACTCTTGTTAAATGAACTGTACTTGATGTTAATATTGACACATTCAATGAATTGAATTACATTTTTTATCCAATCTGCTATAATTAACAGTAAAAGTTAAGAAGACATTCATCATTATTATTGATATATATATACATTATTTTAAGAAGGAGAATGAGAATTCTTAACAATCACTAGTCTATCAAGCAAAGCTTTCGAATAGTATCGTACAGTAGAAGAAAGAACAATACGAAACATTGTCAACGTAATGATATGTACATATTAACATAAATAAAACTTTTAAAAATATTCTTCGACATCTCCCTGTTCTTTTAATATATTAAATAAAACTTGTATTCATCTGCATACATTTTACTTCATTGAATTTGTAATACTATTTATCAGTGTAACAACTTAACTATTTTGGAATAGAGATTCAAGGTAAAATTGATCATACTTAATCTATAGATGATTGGTTTGGTAGATTGAATCTTTTTTTCGCTAAAGAAAAGTTTGGCATATTTAAATGTAACTTTTATAATGTATAAAACAGTTTATGCTACGAGTTCTTGTTTATTGATCAACAACAATTATTAACGAACAAAGATGTCAATTGATTTTTAAAGTACTTTTCATAGTTTTATTCTTTAAAGAAGATGTTGAATGAAATTTAAAAACAATGTTAAATATAGTCAATGATAATCTTTCATGTTATAGGGAAAAGAACCTAACAAGTATCTCATTACGTCATCATCGTCCGTATCATTAACATCGTTTTGAATAAGACTTATTAGACATGCATTTCTTTTTAGTTTGTTCGTGACGTTCATATTTTTTAAATAAAAATATGCATAAATGTACTATTAAAATATTCTTATCATGATCTATATAGATTGTGTCATTCAATATCATACTATTATGATCATTAAACTTTAGTAATTTGAAGTAACCATGATCATGATGAAATCAAAGGTAATGATGAAGCTCAAAAGTTAAATGTCATAAACAATCATATGGTTATGCTGTTATAGTAATGATGGTGATGATTGACGAATAATAACGATGAATTTTATTTGGATTATCTTGTTGATATAATATGACGATTAGAATTTTACTGATAAAGGAACTATTTTGTCTAGACGTACATAGATACCAGTACTATTATAGTTTTATCATAGATTTTTGACTAGTAACCAATTCATAATATATATATGAAACAATTATATTATTCATTTTCATTCAATCGAAGATTTTTAATTGTGCAGACAAAGATAAATACTTTGACAAGCCTGATATATTCATGTCATAGCAACCCATTATGACATAAAAATTCAATTTTTCTACAGAAAATTGAAATCGATTAATTTTAACATGTCCATATATGAACATATATATATATATATATGTACATAAAATATGTAAATTTCGTTTAATATTCATAATGACAAGTCTCATTTCCTATTTTGATTATTATCGTTCATTGAATGAAAGCAAAAGAGAACCACCATAAAATTTGCACATGCGGTATGGTTCTCGAGTTCAAGTTCACTTTTACTTTGTGCATTTCTCGTTGTCACACATCACGTTTTTCTCTTTTTTTTCCTATGTACATTCTATTGCATAATCAATATAGAAAAAAGAATTTCATATCATGGTTAATTATTAACTCAGTGAGCGATAACGAAAAGGAGGCATTGCATCTTCTTTTTCTATTTATTGAACACTAATAGTTATGCACACTCACACACACATACATATATATATATATATAAATTTAGCACCGTATTGCATAGAGAAGAGAAGCACCATCATGAAAAGAGAAAATGAAGGTGAAATAGGTTCATGAACTTTTGTATGCTTGTATGTTATTATTTAAAATAAAGTATATCACGACGCATTTGCA